CCGGGGCGCGAGGGGGCGCCGGCTGCGGGGCGGGCGCGAGGTGGCAGAGGCGGAGGCGCAGAGGGGTTCCGGGCAGGGCAGGGCCGCCCGCGGGCCCAGGGAGGCCCGAGTTTCGCGGACCAGGCCCCTTGGCCGACCCAGCAGGCCCCAGGGGACCTCCCCAGGCACACTGGCCCATCGCTAGGGACGGACTGGCTTGTGATCCTTGGAGCCAGGCCAGCTCCCGAGTCTGGCGACCCTGATCAGATCGCCCCTTGGCCAGCTGCAGTTACACCTGGGAGAAAGGTGACAGGTCGGGGACTTCTCTCCAGGCCACCACTTCCAGCCAGGCCGCCACTTCCAGGATGGTAGGTTAGAAACGGTGCCCTGCGCAGTGGGCATCCCTCCTCAGCCCACCCTGCCTGAGCAAGCTGTATCTCCAGCCTCCCACCACCCTCAGGGAGAGAAGCGCAGCGCATCACCTGTGTGTCACCTGTTGGACAGAGAATGTGTGGCACATGCTGGGTGGTGGAGGAGCCCTGGGTGAAGATCCTGGTGGCTCTGAGCCTCGGGGAAGGATGACCCTGGAGTCATTTAAACAAAACAGCCTGTTACCCTGCGATGCCATGTCCTCGATCCTGCAAGACTTGGTCCCTTCCAATGGCCTCCAGCTAGCTCCAGGCAGCGGTCTTCTTAGTTTGAATTTCTTCATGATCAACCTTAAAAAACAGCAAAGCAATTCCTTAAGGTGGCATCCCGCCAGCCTACCTCCCGTTCCCCAGCCTACCACTGCCTACAATTTCCCTGCCCACCTGCTCCAGGTCCCCAGCTCATCTCGGAGCCACCGTCCCATACCAGGCAGACCCTCGACAGCAATGCAGGCTGGAGTGGGAGTGCCCCACAAGCCGTCCTCAGGCCTACTTTTGCCCTCCAGTGCCCCGCACGGAGCAAGCATCACAAAATAACTGTTCAACAAGTGAAAGGAATTCCTTTGAAACCCTGGCTTTCCCGACATAAAAGTCAACGCTAATTGGATCTTATTTTCTTCAAAAGACTTTACAGCAGCTGAATGTTTTCACACATTTGTAAAGGGTACTAAGAGCGGCAAGAAGATCTATCACTCTTTTTTCTGTTTGCAAATACACCGTGGAAGACAGGCGCATGGCACTCCAGAGGGGGCTGAGGCAGCTGAGGGTGATAGGCTTGGACTGTGCCCTGATGAGTGACGCAGGACTTCTACAGGCTGGGACAGGGCAGGGAGAAGTACCTGGAGGCAATAGGGGATGTCCAGGGACTCAGAGACTAGAGTGCCGCACCGGGGCCTTGAAGAGCAGCAGTGGAGGTAGACACGGGTGGGAGAATCTGGTTCACGCCACAGATTTTTGCAAGCTGAGGAGGGATCTGAAAAGCGTTTCAGAGAGTCAACTCTGGGAAGTCTGAAGAGGCGGCGAGCTGGAGACTTTCGTTTTACAATTCTCCCTTATCTGAGAATGGACCGGATAACCTCGATGACCTCAAGTAAGGATGAACAAGATGATTCAATTTACCCAACATTTATTGAGCACTTATTACACACAAAAGCAAGAAAGAAATGTTAGGTGACCGTTAGAAGCAAATAGGCCCCGTTCTGGTTTCAAGCCACTCCTGTATTGAAGAACTCCAACCCAAACAGAACGGTAAAGCATTATTCCATTTCAAATGCCTGCCAATTTCCTCAAGATACAGCCTGGGACAGATACAAAGAGATTCCAGGAAAGTACTTTCCCCCTTTTCAAGGCAGACTTTACAGATTTCAACATAAATAAGGCAGGCAGCACTTTGTTTAGAGAAATTTTTATGAAGGCATTAATCCTTGACTTAGTATATATTTCAATGTCAATGAAAAATTCGCCTCTATTTAATTTTTTTTTAAAAAAATGAAAGCTTAAAATAAATTACCAGATCTTTGATGCAACCCAAGAAGCAATTTATGGTTTTGATGGCTTGAGAACCATTCCAAACTCAACTGGGTATTCTATTAACTTGGAATTTAAGGAAAATGTTAAAAACTTCTGGAAGAAACGGCAACAATGTTCCCAGGACTTATTAGAAAGCTTTTTGATTCTGTTCACATTCTAGGACCCATTTCTGAAATTGTACCATGTAAGATGGCTGAAGTTGCCTGAAATGTGCATTTATATGTTAATTTCATGCCAGAGTCACTCCAAAATCTCCTAATGCCTGCTCAGTCTCAGCTGGTCTCCAAGAGGTCTGAATAAGAAAAATGCTTTATGGCTTCCAGTATATTCATTCATTTTGTATACATGTATTGATCATTAGTTCTGAAAAGGCTTTAGGGATTTCCATGGTGCATGTGCGTGCGTGCGTGCGTGTATGCGTGTGTGGGTGTGTGTGCGTGGGTGGTGATCAAACAGCAACAAATTTGAGAAACTTTCAAGTCCTCAGAGAAGGATGAGTTAGGGAAGATTCCAGACTGGCATGAGCCAGGGGGGGTACTGGTCAATGTATACAAATGTATACTGATGATCACTAAATGTCTACAAAATGAATAAATACACTGGAATCATTCCCGTGAAGGTCTGAAGTGCTAAAGGATATGCCCACTAGGCCGCTGGCTGCAGCACGGGGAGCAGGGAGGTGCAGCACAGCCTTTGGGACTGATGGAAGGTAGGGCTTGTCCTGGTTGGCCACCATCTGCCCCTGCAGCCGGGCAGCGAGGAAGTAGAGGCTGGCCTCACTGATGCCATCCCTCCAGGATACCACCTAGAGCCCGAGGCCAGGAAGGGACCCCTAAGAACTGCCTGAGGCCCTTGCCTGGCTTCCTGAGCACCGCCCCAGCTTGTGGGCGTTCTGCCCTTCCTCGCCATGTCCAGAATTCTTTGGCATCAAGAAGATTCTCCATGACATTGTGTAACTGGTGCCAGACGCGCCACCTAGTTGCACTCCCTGTTTCCTGAGCTAAGGAAAAGGAACTAACTGCCATGAAAGGGATGTCTCCAGCAAGTTTTTCAAAAAATTCCTAACTTCCAAAAAAGCTGAAAAAGTAGTGATCAAATTTTATGCCCTCCTTATCAGACCAAAAGCTACAACTCTTGTTGCATAGGTCCTGCTTTACCTTGGTCTTGGCCATCCAGCAGAAAAGTATAAAAACGAAATATAAGAAGTAAAGCCATGCTGTTATGTTGAGCTTTTGGGGACTCAGTTCAATAATTTCTGACATTGCCAGTTAAACAGAAGACCCAATGCTATT